GCATTAAATTGAATGAACATGGTCTGGATAGCCCACAGACATACCATAAACATTTCTAGGACTCATAATTGGTCTCCTTTAAGAGCCGCCCACACTCTTTGTGTGTTCATTCATTTGATGGCCAGACCTGAATGAGCAGCTCTCCAAAAACCTGCGTTAAAAAACTCAAAGAGGTGTTTAATCCCTGAGGATATATTTAATCAACCGTGGCGTTTGTGGATATTGTGCTGAAGCCGAACCAACCAAACCTCTGCTGGAACCGACGCACGGCAAAAGCTTCGTCTTGTCRTGTCGTTCCACACAGCAGTAACCTCTCGCCAACAAAACAAATCGTAAGTCTCCTACAAAAAACTATTTTATATTAAATGTAAAATAACTAAAAACTAAAGAGAATCAATTCATTTGTTTTCTTTCAGTAAAAAGCCTCAAAACTTAAAACACACCAGTCTTCCTAAAACACACTTAACTCAACTGCAAAAAGTAAGTTTATTTCATATTGTTAAGCCGATGAAATGACTTTTATGCAAAAAAGTAATTGTATATTTTTGTGTGTTTCAGCTCCCTGGTTGTGAAGTTTTTTGCACGAGTAGTTTTTTGTATGGGTTTATTTTTTGTATAAGGTGTCTATTTTGTGTGGGTGTAGTTTTGTTTGTATGTTATTGTTTAAGTTGAACAGGGTGTGTAATTATATTTTTATACTTTGCATGTCCTGGTGTGGCTGGTGAAAGTAAAACAAATCTAAACCATATATATACAAACAGTAAAAACCCACATACTGGTCAAAAACATCCTAATTGCCAGGARAGATACCTGGCTGGCACCCCAAATAAATTATTAAATAAACATCAATAAAATTATTCAAACCAGAACCRTCACAGGACATGGTATCTGTCTTACCCCACTTGGTAATGGTATTTTTGCATTGTATAGTTGTATGGAAGTATTTGTATTTGCCGTTCTGGCTCACTTCCAGCCTGACTTTTGGAACCCAGAGACGGAGGGTTCTTCAGGCCGAGCTGCAGGGGCCAATTTGACAATGTCTTCCTCTAAACAAAGAGCAGTACCACAAGCTGGATGTTGTCCATTGTTGTATCAAAATAAAGTGACATTGCATAAAGATTTACGCATTTTTTTACATGATTAACCCCGCCCACATTGAGGAGGCATTCTGTTCAAAGCAGAGACAACCAAGGCCGGGCCGGACCTTACAATACAAAAATWCCGCAAAATTTGTCTGACCCACTTCTGGCGTACGTAAACCAAACCACAACTGGGCTAGTTGTGGAATGCCATTTAAAAAAAAACAGTACCATCGTTGCCAGACCTGGCCCACATCTAAACAAATGACATGACAAACCACTTTCCCAGCAGTTCCAGCTTGACACCAGATCTGGCCCACACTTGTCTACGAGAGGATGTTTATTTATTCCACCCTCGTATCAAGTTGACATTCAAGCTCCCATTGTGCTGAAATTTACTTGTTTCCGGAACTGCAGTTTTCAGTGTAGTGTTTGAAATCACACATGTTGTCTGCTTGTTATAAGTCAATATATGTGTATGTTTTTATGTCTTCACAGAGGTCAAAACAGCGCTTGTCGAAGGAGCTGTCAGATTGTGTGGTTTACTGCAGGAGTGTCCACTTCAGGAGCTTCAAACACTCCCGCATCCACTCCAAGTTCTACGAAGTGTCTTCTTTCACRGAGTCCAAAGCCCGCAAGCACTTACGAGAAGCTGGTGAGTCTGTCTGTGACACGTACAGGGTTTCCAACAGAAACATCCATGGAGCGTCAGAGAATCAGAGTGSTTTGTGTTCACCTGTATCGTTGATGGATTAAACACTATCTTTGCTGTTAGTTCACYTCCTAGCTAGTGGTGGGATGCTGCCGTTCTGCGGGTAAAGTAATCGACATGCATCATACGGTCAATGCATTTGGCCACTACAGTATTGTCCCTCAGCGTCCATCTTCATCATTATATGTTTAACTGCCTACTCTAATATGACAGCTCMGATCCCAGGCTGCACTCAGAATTTGGGAAAAAGAGTGTCCCATATGTGCCATTTCAATTTGGCTGAAAATACGGGACTGTTGGCAACCCTATCTGGAGCTAACATCAGATATTCTAGCTCTGAAGTGGCTTGTGCATTGTGAAGGGCTCAACACACGGGCGGCGACGTCGCTCGCTCTCCATTCATTTCCTATGGAGCCTGTGCGGTGAGGCGACAATCGCTTGCCCTCCTCCAGCTAAGCGACCGGCGAAAATAGTGCATGTGAAATTTCGCGCTCGTACACGTAGACGTGCACACGCAAGCTTGCGACGCGACATATGAAAGTTGAAAAATGTTCAACTTTTGTCGCTGTCGCTTAGCGTACAACCAATCAGCGAGGGTTTCATTGACTGACCAATGAGAGGAGAGTATGCTACACACTGCMGTTAGCTAACACTTTCACCAAGTGATTACTAAAAAGCTTTGTGGGAATTTATTGGCACCAGGGTGAAGTTTATGGAAAGTTTTTCCTCATAAAACTGTATCTTGATGTGTGTTTGTTCTTCAATATCATTAGCATCGCAAGATTTGTTTAGTTTACATGTCCGTAATGCACACCTGCCTTCAGAGTCAAGAACCAATCAAATTTTGTGAAGACAAGCGACCTGAGAGCGCGATTCTCAACGCTGCGATCGCTATCRCGTCCCGTGTGTCGGGTTTCACCCKGGCTGCGATGACAGCCGTTAATCGCTGTAGTTTGTCGCTGCCCGTGTGTCGAGCCCTTGAGACTTCTTGATTGCATAGAGAATCTATGGKGTTCTGTTGAATCCCTGTGAACTTTGATGGCAAATTGCACAGAACTGATTTTACTGATCCTTTTTCAGTGTGTTGGTGACTCATTTTTTCCTTTCAAGTGTGTATGTAGAAAGCTCCAATCCTTTTAGACCTCTGTTCTGGATTATTGTACAGTAAAATGTAGAAAGGCAGGTTTGGTTTGTTCCGCTGATAATTCAAGCAACCATTTCATTGATTTTGGTGAAAAGAAGTTTGATTTTTAACAGGAATCATACAAGGTGATGAACTAGCAACTCACTGGCAGTAATCATAAAMCTTGTGTTTCTCTGACATTTGCTGAACATGCTCTTTTTTAAATAGTGTGGGATTTTACTTGGTGTTTTTCTTTTTTGCATTCAGTTATCCAGTTATAATTCCAATATGCCTTCTTCATTTCAGGAGYGGAGTTCGTGCATCATAACTCACAGCAGCTGACCCGGGTTTATCCCACTGGATTCCGCACTGACTCTTCAAATTTTAATCCTCAGGAAATGTGGAATGCTGGATGCCAAATTGGTGACTGCACCTGAATAAWACACATTCATTTTTCAGCAGGACTTTTCAGACAATTGTGTGGTTTTCTATTTGTCATTACTGTCTGATACAACAGTGAGCCATAGTCAGTCACATAGAACCTCACCAAACAGCACATCGAACTGTCATTACCAGTATTTACCCCAAAAAGTAACTGAAATGTGGGCTTCAATAAACCTCATTTGGCCACATTTATCTAGAATACTTTGCAAGCTAGGTTTTATTTACCTGACTGACGTGATCCTTGTTYAGCCCATATATAGATGTTGCCGTTAGTCCTTCAAACAGCTCAAATAGACCTGACTTCATGTCCACATAAAAYAGATTAATATTTACTGGCATCAACCAGTGTAGATCCCACTTTTTTCCTCTACTCTTTWCTGCATGTCCAATTGTTCCCTTTGTCTACGCTTTTTGTTGCTGTCAGATCTTACCATTCAGCTTTGGTTTATTGTCACTGAATATGAGTTTTATTATGRTATCCATATTTGATATGGTATCACATAATGCTCTTTTTGGTGTAGGACAGGACCTTACACTGTACTGTATGTAGCACTGCATATCAAACTTTAGCATTGCATTGTTCAGTATACAACATAGTATTGCAAAGTATATTGCAACATACCATAATATACCATGACATCATAGAATATCACAGTATGTAATAGGATTAGCATAGTATTTATAACATACCATAGGTTAGCATTGCATGTTAAATGACTATCAACCACAGTATAGTGTTAATTATAGCATAGTATGGCATAGCATAGTACAATGCAGTTTTCATGGTGTAGTATGGTACATAAGTATTTATAGTATATGTACCATGATATGCCATGGTTATAGCATAGGATAGCTCAGTATAATATATTTAAGTATAGTATAGTGTAATACAGTATAATATAGTCTTTATAGCATACCATGGTATATTTTAGTGTAGTATGGTATAWTATAGCATAGCACAGCTTAGCATGTCATAATAAACACAACAATCTTAMGCAGCAGATTAATAGAGGACTACTGGACTTCTCTAATTCTTGATGATGTCTCAGCTCTTTTTTAAATGGTTTCTTCAGTTGTGATTATAGTTTTCATACAAAAATTACAATAATACTAAAGGTTTCTGCATAGATAAACACCTATTTAATTAAGCTATTCTAGTTTCTGGATGATTTTTTGTGAAGTCAGTACAGAGTATATAAATAAAATATATTTATTTTTTTTAACTTTTCCATTCAGTTGCTCTGAACTTCCAGACAGCTGGTGAGGGTATGGATTTAAACGACGGGTTGTTCAGTCAGAATGGTGGATGTGGCTACGTCCTGAAGCCTGGCTTTATGAGGGACACAGAGAAAAGGTTTGACCCTGATGTACCCCAACAGCGAGATGACTACCAACCTGTTGTCCTCACCGTCCAGGTAGAACTCACAGAGAACAAGGCAGACTGTGTAATTTGTCATGACTTGTATTTATAGATAAGATATAACTGATGTGTTCACTGCAGGTGATCAGTGGCCAGCAGCTGCCCAAAGTCAACATCAAAAAAGACTCGATTGTGGACCCCCTGGTTCGAGTGGAGATCCACGGAGTTCCAATGGACCAGGCTAAGCAGGAGACCAGATACATTGATAACAATGGTGATAAAAAGAACTGCACTATGAATCCAGTCAGGACAAATCATGTTCTAGACCAAACTGTTGGCAGTAATTTAATGAAAATATTTATAAATAGGTTTTTAATGAAGTACATAACATTGGGCCTCATGCAAGAACATGTTTGTATTCTTATCCTAAATTTCTCTTACTTTTGTTCGTACAAAGGGTTCGTA